CCGGGGAAATGCCGTTGCGAATACGAGGCTGCACGTATGGTAGCTCCAGTAAGTAGTTGAGGTGAGCGGGGTGGCACAATTGAATCTGGTGTTTCTATGCTTCCCCTACGGACGCCTGTCTCATCGGCGTCAGGTGCATGGGCAACAATGGTCGGATTCGGCTTTATCGTAGGCGTCACTTGTCGGATGTCTGGGCTTGTAGAAGCAGAGGTGCTCGGCTCGACACCCCGGATACGCGATCTGGCGTGTTGTTGAGGTGACCCGGGTACTGACCGAAGGCCAAGCACGTTTGTCGTCGCGCTGGTATCTTGATCAAACTGAGAGAGTTCCCCTTGAAGTCGGAGAGAATGCCTCGCATAGTGGAGTCCCAGCCCATTAATTCTTCGCTACGCTTCTCTCTCGCGCTTGATGGTTTTACAGGTGTCAAAGAGGAACTCGTGGTTTTCACGAGGTCAACTTCACTAACAGACATGCTTCGTCGTTTTCCAGCCAATAATCTGACCTGCGCCGTAGCATCACGAGTACATACGGTCTTTCCAGGGGAAGGTGGCCGGGGAGACAGCCCTGAGAAGTCCACGCTCGATGATTACGAGTAGTAGATAGGTATACATAACGCTCTTACCGCTGGTTGTAGCTTCGATGTGAAGAGGAGGAAGAGGTTTTGACGTATCCGGTGCTGGGTGAATTGAGGCCAGTCGGGGGATATCGGGAAAGCTTCTGACGTCGGGGATGCTGGTAAAGGGGGCACAGGTGGAGTTATTTGTGCCATTCGTCTCGACGGGGATGACGCATCGGTCTTCTGCAGGGAGAAGGGTTACGTTGAGGGCCGCGGGGATGATATAACTACGTACTGAGCGTTCGCGAGTTGCGTTTAGCATCCTGCCCAAGAATGCACTCGTCTTTTGCCGAACTGAAGACTTCGTGTTCTGGGTTGCTATCAGCACCTCCATACGCAGGATGAGCCTCAAAACGTGCCTTTACACTCCCATCGTCGAGACTCGAGCTGGCGGGCACCCGCCCAGCGCCGTTGGATGGTGGACCGGTGGACTGTCCCGGCTTCTGAGGCTTCCCTTTTTGCATGGTCGGTGAAGTAGGGGCTGGCACGGTTTGTCCAGTGGATGAAGTTGAGGACCTTTGACGGTGTCGCGGAGCTGGGTTTGGTGTCGCGTGGGGGCCTGCAGGCAATGGCGGTGTAGCTTCGTGGCGCCTGTCCTTGCCGGTAAGTTGAGATGGTAATATGCTTCCCCTTTGTTTCGCCTTGCGGACGAGGGTAGCAAGATCTGGACTACTCGCGGTTCCCTGTGACCGATACATTGAACGGCGCTTGGTTTGATAATCAGGGTCTTCCGCGTCATAAAATAAATCGTTGGAGGAGGACGAGGCAGAGGTTGAAGCAGAAATGGAGGCGGGAGGTCTGGAGGTAGGCGAAGCTAGAGAGTTTTTAGGTTGGGGAGGAAGCATACTCTGCGGTCGGGACGAGGCCGGTGGGGACAAAGGGGAACTGGATGAAAGAGACGCCGAATCTAGCCCTAGGCTCTCGACGTCAATCCCCTCTTTAATGACCACCGTTTCCCCAGCTTCCAACGCTTGCTCAAAGCTCATATCGATGCGAGAGGTCCGTCTCATATCGGCATCAGCACGGTTGCCATTACGGTCACCACGCGACGCGTTCGGATGAAGTCCGGACGGAAAAGAGGATGGTGGGACAAGTGAGCGAGGCGAGGGAACGGGGCTACGAAACATGGACGCACGCGTCACAACGGACGACGTCCGAGTTCAAGGAAATTGAGGGGAAAAGAAATGAGCGCCCAGGCCGTGCGCAACGTCGAGCACAGCGCACACCGGTTCGAATGGCTACGGTACTGTATTGTATGGCTGGCACTTGCCGATTTTTTTGATTTTGAATTTACTATAACAGTATAGCGTATCTAAAGTATCATCCGACCTCAACAATGACACGACTGTCATTTCAATCATACGGTTGTCGTGTTTCAACCTCAGGGGGTGACTCCTGCGTCACGGCTTGCTCCGCATCTCCCTCTGTCTCATTTGATGGCGGAACGTCTGCTTTCGGTTTGTGAATACGGCTGCTTGAGAACTCCTCAGGAGCACCGGATGCGAACGACTCGCTTAGCGAGCTCACTGTCGATACTGCCATCTCGAGGACTGCCTCGACTCGTCTCCGCAGTGCCTCGCTGCTGCTATCGACCGTCTGTGCATAATGACATCAGCGGGGGAAAAGGTGCAATATAGAAAGGGGCGTACCATGGAAAGCAGGTTGATTCGAGCCTCAGCATCATCCAGTTGGATCAAGAATGATGGCTCGCCATGGGATGTCGACTCTTCTTGTTCGCATGCCATATCCTCGTCTGGCATGTGGTATTCGACCTCGCCAAAGTGCGCTTCAAGGAACAGGCCAAGTCGCTGGATGCGTACCATTGGGTTATGCGTGTAGTCGTGGTCCGAGTGCGGGTGATGTTCGTGCTCATGTCTATGCGTGTGTGTTCCAACAGTCACTAGGTATCATGATCAGGTTGTGCATATGCATGCGCGGTCACAAATGATCATACGTTTTACTGATGCTGGACTCTTATCAATTTCCGTGATCACCGCGAGTGTTGAATCTGCAATCATGTCGTTTGCAGCGCTTGAATCCCATTCCAGCGTAAGTTCATTTTCAGCGGTCTGCTTCACATCTATCGCACTCATCACCTGTTGCAACCCTCAGCAGGTCAATTCCGTCTTGACAGGGCCGACACCAAAGGAACATACCCGCATTGTTGGAATCCCTTCCTGGTCCATTCCCTCTTCAACATTACCGTACATGCCCTCCAAGTGCCATCTCACGAGACCCCATCCAACGCCAAGGGCGACTTTCTGACGTTGCGTCACAACGCACGTCGAAAGTCCGGCGAAGTCACGCAAGTCGCGAGGATCCAACAACGTGTATGAGTAGTCTTTCGACACGAGCAAGCCAGAGAGAACGTCGTTTGTCTGAGGAGGTTTGGCGGCCAAACTGCCAATGACTTTGGCAACTCGTTCGGGGCGGAAGGTGAGATTCAACGTCTCGAGGTTGCGGGGTGAGTAAATCTTAATATCCTCGTCCCGGTTCTTATATTTAGCTTGCAACGCAGCCCTAAGGCGACCCATGGCCGTTTGTTCGCCATGTACGAGGACCTACGATGTACGTCAGGGGGATGGGCTGAATAGAACAAAAGAACGCACAATGTGAGGGGCCTTGATTAGGTCGATGAACTCAGAGTTTTGTGAGTAGTCGACGTGTGCGCTGAAGGAGATATAGTCTACGGAAATCTTGCGCGGGATGGTGTTGCCTTTCATTCCAACTATCTCATCGGGTTCATTCATGATTTCCTAGTTGTGAGAGGTGATCAGTAAAAGTCCTCGATTGCACCTCTCATCAAGTAGGCAAAAGACTTAGGAATCACACGCGGTGGGAGAATGACATCCATTGCTTCGTATATACACACAAGAAATATACCTCTGCATCCCCAAAACTCCACGCTACAAGAAATTTTCCAAAATGAAGGGTGACTCACCCGTGCTGGCGTGCCTTCAACGGAATAACCAGTGACAATGAGACCGTTCCGAGAGTCTGGAGCCCAGAGTTCAAAGAGTTCTCTACTTGTGCCTGATTGCAACATCCCCGGACTAGCAAGAACGACACAAGGGGGCCCTTCGGCTATTTTGCGCTCCCAACCACGAGCTTGAGGTACGTTGGAGATATGCCTGATACAATTGAACGACACACGATAAGACCGAGGGATAAGAAACGTACTTGAAAACAAAAGGGTTGTCCCTTCTTGCAAACCTTGATCGGATGTTGGAATTCATAGTATGAATGTACGTTTGGTAAACAGCCATACACTTGCGCGCGAGGCTCGATGCATAATAGATGGGAACACTGTGTAAGTCAGGGTGCTTCTTCCAGTACTCGTCAAGGATGAGCAAAAGCTCCTGTGCACGCCCTAACGCAAATGTTGGAAGTAACACGTGTCCTCCCCGACGAATAATGGAATGCACTAGGTTCGTAAAGCGCAACTCTTTTTCCTCACGCCCCTCGAGGCTTTGCACACCGTAAGTACTCTCGACGATGAGCACGTCTGGATGTACTGGAGGAATCTCTGCCTTTACGAGATGGCGATCCTCCTCGCGAGAATAATCGCCCGTGTAGAGAACTTTGTGGCCGGCTATGTCGATCAAGAACATGCACGCCCCAAGAACGTGCCCTGCATGGTATGGCGTAAAAGTCACACCAGGGCAGGGAGTGATCAGCTGGTGAACAGAGACGGGAATGATGGAAGAAATAGACATGGATAGATCGAGAGGTGAGATCAGAGCGTCGGTTGATGAATTGCTAAAACCCACGTAAGTGGCATGAAGAACAGCGTACGTTAGCAACACACCTCATCCGGACGAAGTCCTGCATCATAAACTTGTGAAGCGCTTTCGTTGGATGAGTCATGTAAATTTTGCCCTTTCCCTCTCTGAAATTTGTCTAGACGAATTGAGAAGTTGAGAAGATGTCATCGAGTGCAACCTTCGCACACCTTTTCCGTGACGTATGTCAAGGCTGCCGCATGGTCCAGATGGAAACTGAACGAATGTTGGAGGTATTATTCCCGATCAAAGGATGAAAGGAAGCGCACTGGGTGATGAGTATTGCATCTACCGTACTCCAGTCAAGCTCATCAATGAAGGGCAGGGACGCCATTCCTGTAAGGGCGGGATGTACACCAGCATCCAAAACGAGTGTGATATCCCGGTATTGAAGCACGCAGCACGACCTTCCAACTTCTTGACCCGCACCCAAAAGAGTGATGCTTAGCGTCGGTATGTCCGCCATCGTGGTCGCGGCTCAAAGGTCGCGGTTCGAAGAAATCAGTCACCTCAGAAGAAAGGCTGAGTCAGTCAGCTTTGTCATCCACCTACTCCGATTCATTTACTGGAATACAAGCTAAAGTTGCTAACATATAATTTAAGCACTGGTGGGGTAGCGGTAACCTTGTTCATTCCCATTCAATGAGATGAACAGCCCCGGGTTCGACTCCCGGCTAGCGCAATAATTTTTTGAGGTGCCTACAAGTTATTGATCACGTGACCAGACCACCAATGATGTGATGATCGAAGTGTCATGTCTGTCTAGTATTTGGCTACACTTATCGGATGAGTACATAGACCCCATGCAGTCCACGAGCTCCCTGTCTGCTAGCACAAATATTGGCCAGCGTCTCATTATAAAGGATTCTCGAAATGAGGGAGGAAGTACCCTCGACAATTTACATTCGTGAAAACGAGGTAATTGTAATCTGCCATGGATTGACCAACTCCACCATATGTTCATATGTTCAGTTTCGTGCGTCTCCAATGACGACGTTTGGCATTGTACTATATCGCCAGCAAATATTAGTTTTGGAGACACTTCATGCTGACTTAAAGAACGTAAAAGAACGCACTTGGATCTTGGTGTCAGTCTTTAGGCGGAACCATTGGGGGATGGGCCTGGATTCGTCGAACATGAGAACAGAGTGACTACAAAGGATAGTAGAATAGCAGGCTCACCGGTTCTGGCGTGAAGCTTTGGCCAGGATGCGTTTTGTGCGGAATGATTTTTGAGAAGGCTAGTAGGACAGACGTACTGAGCATCGCCAAAGAACTGTAACATTAACCTGTACGCACCATTTTTCGAAGAATCTGCTTCGCTGAACTGCTCGCGCTCGACGATGATGGATATGTGGAGAATAGAGTTACGCGATACTAGGAACTGTACAGTTGCATCGCTGACAAATTATGTTCTCAAAAGCGGAAATAAAGGGTCACGGGACTCTTGGTTCCCTCGCACCCACACTCTTCGGGGCAGAAACAGAAATTCATGACATTGGCGAAGGGATGTTCCAATGGAGTTCCCTTGGGAGTTCCACTATTATAAGACAGCATTTTGAGTTCATCTGTGCATTTGCTAAAGGAAATGCTTCGAGACTTGCGTGGTGCTTGTGGTGGCCCTGCATCCAACCCACTTCAGAACTCAAATTGTTGGCCTTGCTACATTTGTGTGGAGTTGCAGGCTTATCCGCAGAAGTCTGGGAATCACCATGTGGTGCCCGCTGTTGCAATTATCAATTGGGAAAGCTACATGTTTGTGTTAAGCAGACAAGGAGGAAGTGTTGGAAGTGCAACAGCCACCGATGATGCGCCACCGATGCAGCAGCACACACAGATATGTGCTCAGCAGCGACTTAGAGCCGGGAGCCGGACGTGGCAGAGCAGCGGCCCGACAGGCCAGCAGCGGGGGAACGTGCAAGACTCACACCACATATCAACCCAACTTCCAGTGACCACCCACCCTCACCGACTGGTCGGATCTCCCCAAAAATTGATAGAAATATCGAGCATTGGTGGTATGACAGGTCCCCAGCAAATTGGAGTGCCACAATTCCTCGATCCCCAGCAATCACACAAGACATTTATGAGTGGTTTCAAGGCTCCCACAGTGTGCACAGGCATTCCGGCCTCAAACAAACAACATCCCCAGCAAGGTCTAGTGCAGGCCAGTCTGCCCTTCAAATTAGAGCGACACCCGATGTCGCGTGCCACATCACCAGGCCCAGGAGTGAAACATAGAGATCAGGTGACCATGGCCGATCGGCCGATCGGAGCACCCTGAAACTTGGTAGGATTGTAGTTTATTGTAGTATCTACGCATGGACCAAGTAGATAGTATTTAGGATTAGTCTGTCAATAGTTATAGTCAATTTCCAGCCGGAGGGCAGTGCCCCTCAGTATTTCCCCCAGTTCTCAGTCCGTTCTTGGCCGATTCCTCTCACTCCAGTCGCATTCCATTCGCTTCCTACTCCTCTCAGTCACCAATCACGTCGCCGCCCTCCCACAGAGCTCCCAAGTGAGCTCTGAGCCTGTTTCCACCACTGCCAGCCCAGTGAGACTGAAGTGGCCCGATTAGGCAGGTCGCTTTCCCATGCACCCAGAGGTACTCTGACCTCAAAACCCGACTGCTCCAAGTCACTTGCTCAGGCATATAGCAGGGACTTGGTGCATCACTGATGTCACACGTTGCATTGCAAGGCCCAAGAGTGGGTGCATAGAGATTGGGTGACAGCAACCAATCAGCTAATCAGAGCATCCCCCAAATTGATATGAAGGTAGATTGGGGTTGCTACTATGCACAGACCAAGTAGATAGTATATTAGTTTAGTTTGTCAATAGTTACACAAGAATCTAGCTGGAGGGCAGTGTCCTTCAGAGTTTCTCACCCATCTTGCCCATTTCTCAGTTGTTTCTCTCCATTTCAATTTCTATTCCTTTGCATTCTACCCCTCTCCATCACAGGTTATACTGCTGACTGCCAGCAGAGCCCCAAGTGAGCTCTGAGCCTATTTCCAGTGCTGCCAGTCCTGTGTGACTGGAGCAGCCTGATTAGGCAATCCACTATCCCTCCAGCCCAGAGGTATGCTGACCAGCAACCTCACAGCACCACTGCTCCAAAGTTGCTCACATTGTGCACTGCAGGGACTATTCACACTGCATATTCTTGCTCCACATTTGCTCACAATGGAAGCTGACCTGGTGGGTGCATCAGGAAAACTCAACTTTTATTACAGTAAGCTTGCTTAACCTTTCTTAGACACACTTAAAGTTCCTTAGACCTTAATTTAAGTAGATTTAAGCAGGTCCCAGGACTCTAACAAAATTTAAGCTTGTTTAAGTACACTTATGCATACTTAAGAGGTTTTAATAAAATTTGAGTTTTCCTAATGTGCACATCCAGATCATGAGGCACTCAATTGTGCCTGTAGCTTATTCTCATTTAATGGACAAAACAAACCTTTATTCTTCATGTGGGATACAGATGCTGGTAGGATCGCAGCTAAAATTCAGTCTAAAGCCATGGGTGCAGCCCTAATCACCTTTCATTTGTGTAAGGTCAAGAATGGGGACAATGAGATTCAATACAACATCTTGGAAGAAGTTGTGCTGGAACAGGCACCCCCTGCTAACGAATTCTGAGTCATTAATAATGACAATGGCCAATCAGGTGGTTCCGCTTTTTAATAACTTTTCATATCTCCTTTGCTTGCTCCTTTGAGTCCTTTCATTTGGTTCCAAGTTTGGTCCATCAAAGTACACATTCCTTCATCAGGACCAGGAATGGGAGGTCCTTTGGTGAATTACCCAACCCTTAGGCTGTAGAATTTGAAGGTCTGCTCTCAGAGGTGTGTTGTTGGTGGTGCCTCAAGTGGTGCCTCAGTATTATTGCTAATATGTCATACTAGCGTTGGCGGCGTTGCCGCCGTTATCGATTGACGGCCGTTGACATTGTTTTAAAGGAGGCAGTGACATAGGACAGTGGGGTCGCAGGTGACGGGTGCAAACGGTGGGGTTTGAAAAACACGGAATGCGGAAAACGAATTGTTGAGGAAGTCTTGGAGCTCGTTGGAGAGGGAGCGAGATTGATAGGGAATCGATCGGCGGAAGACTGAAAGCAGGCGATCGCGCGATCACACGTGGGTGGATGGCAGGCACATTCCCATTCTCGGACGTCCCGAGCTCGACTGTAACATTATACAATGTAGATTTACAGAGCATGTGACTGTGCTGGCATGTCCATTTGTTGGTGGTGCCTCAAGTGGTGCCTCAGTATTATTGCTAATATGTCATATTTACAGAGCATGTGACTGTGCTGCATGTCCAGGAATTTAATGCTGTTGGGTGAATTTATGAGATAACACTTGCCTAATTGGAATCAGAGAATGCCCAGTTCACCTGTGGCAATTTCTGGTAACATTAGATATGTGTCACATAGAAATATGGGAATCCCTTGGGATCCTGAGCTTTTCACAGTAACCAGTCACAGTAGTGTATGTTTTCTGTGTTGTTTTGTCCATTGATCCCACTCAACCCCCTTCCTGGTTTCCCTATAGGTCCCACAATCCAATTCTCCCAGCACCAACTGAGAAGCTGCTTTAAAGAACATTTTCCTGGCTTAGCTTCACCAAACCCTGTAAGTCATCAGCAAAATGTAAATTTTACTTGAAATTGACTTGAAATCACTTGATTGGCTCCAAGTGAGTCAAGTTACGATCAAGTCAGCCAAGTTGCAATCAAGACAAGGACTTGCCTTGATTTTGACTTGAAAGTGACTTGAACTTGACTTGAAAAGTTGATTTTCAATATCATTTTTAAATTCAACTTTCCAAGTCAAGTTCAAGTCACTTTCAAGTCAAAATCAAGGCAAGTCTTGTCTTGATTGCAACTGGCTGACTTGATCGTAACTTGACTCACTTGGAGCCAATCAAGTGATTTCAAGTCAATTTCAAGTAAAATTTACATTTTGCTGGTGAACTCACTCCATCTATGCTTCTTGTGTTACAATAATCACTTTATGTACCCCTTGCTCAGGTTTGCTGTAGCTCACTCCTCAGAGCTATGTAAGCTACATATGTATGGTTGTATATCACCTTGCAATCCAATGCTAAGGCACT